TTTTATTTGGGCATGAAATAATTGCATATATATATATATATATAAAATATATATATATATATATATTGTTTTCTTAACGCTCTGTTAAATTTTTGGTTTTCGAAAGATAATAGAATATTTTCATATAAACGAGATTCCTGCAGAACATTTCTAATAAAATAATAGAATTCGCTGACCAAGAACTAGGGATAAAGACAAAATATTATTAATTATATTCGTTTCCTAGAGCTAAACATGTGCAAACAGCCAGACAGCAAATCTAATGCTTTAAATGCATCCAATAGCACAGAAATAATGTAAAATCAATGTGAAATCAGGAATATATTTACGCCAACGTAAAATATCATACACGATAATGAGCCTGCATATACATAATTAATCCATATATATTCAATGGATTTATTTATTAGCGAATATTCAATAATTGTTTAATCGACCACCACTTTCTGGTCTTCTAGCCAAATTGAAATGCAGAAAAGTGTGGTTACACGTATATGAGTTGCTCTTACTCTTTATTTTCGGAAATATAATAAATAAACAAATTAATTAAGTAAATATTATAAAGTAATAACGTTTAGAATAAAAAAAGATAATGTCGAATAAAAACTCATTTCACACACACACACCTATATATATATATATATATATATATATATATATATATCAATCCATTTTTATACAAGTTTCATAAAAAATGATTGACAATATACTTCGCTTATTTTCCTAGTTGGCTGCCGAGTTGTCATTTGATTGTAATGAAACTTGTGTAAAAGAGGGATTGATTCCAAAATACACAATTATTAAATTATATGACCCGGCAGTCAACAAACAAAACAACTGAAACGCCTTGCCTCTCTTTTTTTAATGAAACACACACATATATATATATATATATATATATATATATATATATATATATATATATATGATAAAATATAGTTTTAGGGTATGTTATATATTACGGGTTAAAGTGCTCAATATCAGAGGATAGAGCGTATGTAAATATGAACGTGGACATTGAAGTCAACATTCAGATGCAACAACTCTTTCATGCTAAACGCAATCCTCAGTCCAAGTACGTTGTGTTTTTTAACGATTTTTTATAAATACATGTCAATGATTCATTTTGAGTAGTCTATTGCATTTTTTGTAGTCTATTCTATTATTCTAACAGTTACTTATGTGGCTTTGGTTTGAGAATTTGTTTTTTAATTAGTTATTTGTTTGATTAATTGATTTTACATGTTTTGTTTAAATTATTTTCATTTATTGTTTCATTTTTCGATTTTTTAAGTAGGATAGTAAAAATTTATTTTTGTGCCTCTCTTTTGAGATGAGTGCCGATCGTTTATCTAGTAGTTTGTTTTGGTCTGGAAAGGTAATTATAGCTATTTTTTCCTCCAGCCTGAGTTCCCAGTTTTGGGATTGCTCGTTGTAGGCTGGTGTTCTTTTCCTTATTTTCCATGATATTTTGTGCGAATTTTATTTCTTTTTAATTCCCCAGATATGTTTAGACACCATTGTGCTGTTTTGTCTTCCCTATTTGTAAAGGATAATCAGCTCTTTTTATGGATTTTATAATATTAGGATTCATTTGGATTATATACAAATAAATTATTACCTATAATCCGTGTTAAGTTATCCAAGTGATTCCTAGTAATATAAAATATTAAAACTGATCGACAGAAAAGAGCTCAATGTATTTATTACAGAACATATATGATTTACCTGTAAATATAATTCAATACTGATGTGGGTGCCAAAGTTGGGACCACAGAAGTAAAACACGGAACACGGATTAGATGTAAGAAAGATATATTATCAACAGGTTACAGAGATAGTGTAAGCAGAGCTTACTATAAGTTAGTGTACAACGCTGGTAGTCGTACTAGACTCTCACTGTCACTTTCTGTCTCTCTGTGTCACTCTCTGTCACTCAGTCACTCTCTAGAGTGTTATGTCGCCTACCTAATATAGGCCTGGAAGAGTCTATTGTGTAGGTAGTTTCCGGTCTCACAATAAATACCTTATACGATATATGGACATTTCGCCCAGAACGGTCTTGTCAGCAACAAGGAGTTAGATGAAATAAATGAATCATAATGTTTTCTAATAATCTGAAAAGCAAGAATAAATGAATAGTATCAAGTCTGGTGATCCTATTACATCTCGTGATTATTGGCAAAATTCACAGAAGGTAATGTGATGTAATCTATCCTGACATGGCATCTCGACTTCAGACACTTTTTAACCTTTCTGAGGTGAATCCTTGCAGCCTTTTCTTCAAATATTTTCATGATGATTCTGCTGATGTGCTTTTCCCCTTGTGACTCGATTGCATGAATTTAAGTTTACTACTATATTGGCAACTAGATCTCACCGTTTTACTGATGAACTAGCTAGATGGTACCGCCACTTCTATTTTTGCACTCTTTTCCCTCGCAGTTCCCAAACTGTGGAACTGCTTTCCTATTTCCTTTTCTTTTCCTATTCTTTGCTTTCATTATTCTTAGTAGTAATATTTTAAATTCAGTGTCAGTCACCAACTGCTGTCTTCTTTAACTCTCTACTTTTGTTGCCATTTCCTCACGAAGTTATCATTCTCTTTCCCTCCCTGTGATTCTATGCGTCTTAGTGGCATTATCACCTTACTTGGGGTGAAATGATTAAATTAAAATAAATAATAAAGGCGGTTCAACGAACACCATCATAAAAAACCACGGGATGAATTTATGCGTCATTGTTCGTTTCTCTCATTATTACAGTTTACCTGTTCATAAATAAACCCACAGATTTTGCAGGAAAACAAGAGTAATAATAAAAAAGAATTCAATCAAACAAAATTTATTTTGATAGGCATTTCACTCGGCCATTTAAGTATAATCATTAAAATGAAACTTCAATGCTAAAATAGCGTAAGTTAGAGTCGAATCAAATAGGACTGAATAAAAAAAAAACATACAATTAAATCAAATTTCTTTGAAAGCAACAGTCATGCTGAAATAATTTGATTTATTTTCCAAATGAAAGCGTATTTTCAGAATGATACAAACCAAAGCTAACGTCGTAAGGAACATACTCTTCTATATGCAACAAAGACGAAAATGATATATTTTTCTATTAACTTTTGTCGTATAACACCACTTTAGATATTTATTCGCATAGATTTTTGTCATCTTCTGTAACTCAGTGGAGATTGACAATTAGATCGTCTTATTCTACTTTCTGTGTCCCTAATGGATGTAGGCGATCATGTGTCTCCGCTATTCACTGAGCTCTTAAGAAATGTCTTTTATTATATCTCCTAATCCTCGTTCCGTCATCCATTTACAAACGCTATCTAGCTAGGTTAAGCGTTCTTTTCCATTATTCCTCTTGTCTTAAAAATGTTCTGTGAGTATTAAATTGTTCAACCCAATTTCTTCATTATATGCCCAAGAAATTTCAACTGTCGCGTCCTGATGTTATGCATGCGTCCATTTCGTTTCTATTTTCTCTAAAACTTAGGCTGAACAAGTGAAAAAGGACAATGATGTTCTCAGCAGCCATCTGTAAAAGAAGATATCTGTTGTTTGAAGTCACACATTTTCCAGCGTTCACTGCCATATAGGATGATTGATGTTACATAACATTTCAGGGATATTTTCTTTGTTTCTAACGATTATTTGGCCAGTTAAAAAAAAAGAAGTGATAAACTGATAAAAGACGAGATATTGGTAAAAAGCATACACTGCAGGTTTTGTTTGTATGCTTAAAGATTTTTGCAAATGTATTTTATACCTCCCTCTGTCTCTCTCTCACACACACACGCCTAACTTCGAATGGCATATATAGATGTGTTGGTGTGAACTAAAATGTAGACACCTATATGTATATATCTATGCGTATGGTAGTGCCACCCCAAGAAAAAACAGAAATAGTTCCCCCACCCCGCTACTAAACATAGTCAAACATGCATAAATAGATACAGTTTAAAAATTAAACCAGTTTGTCTGATGACCTCAAAAGCGTGAACCCCCCAAGGGCACAAACTCATATCCATGCAACATATATATATTTGTGTGTATATATATATATATATATATATATATATATATATATATATATATATATATATATATATATATATATGTGTGTGTGTATATTTATATTTATATATGTGTGTGTGTTTTGTGTATATATATATATATATATATATATATATATATATATATATATATTTTTTGTGAATATATATGTGTATATATATATATATGTTTGTGTGAATATATATGTGTATATATATATATATATTTATCTGTGAATATATATGTATATGTATATGTTTATATATATATATATATATATATATATATTTGTGTGATATATATATATATATATATATATATGTTTTATTGTGAATATATATGTATATATATATATATATATATATTTGTGTGAATATATATGTGTATATATATATATATATATATATTTTGTGTGAATATATATGTGTATATATATATATATATATATATATATATGTATAATATATATATATATATATATATATATATATATATATGTTTGTGTGAATATATATGTGTATATATATATATATATATATGTTTGTGTGAATATATATGTATATATATATATATATATATGTTTAATTATGAATATATATGTATATATATATATATATATATATATTGTGTGAATATATATGTGTATATATATATATATATATATATTTGTGTGAATATATATGTTATGTATATATATATATATATATATATATATATTTTGTGTGAATATATATGTGTATATATATATATATATATATATATATATATATATATATATATATATATATATATATATGTATATAAGTAAATATTAAGTAGACTGTAATTATAGTAAATAATAATTATGGTAAAATAAATGCTAAGGTAAAACTATAATTATAGATGATAAACGAGAAAGACAGATAAAAAGAAATAAATGGTATCTAAAAAGAATTAATGAAAAATCAATATTAATAAATCACAAGAAAAGAGCTGAATCATAAATGAAATAAAATAATGATAGAATGAAGGAAATAAAAATAAAAGAAGAAATCCATAAAAGTATGAATGGAGTAAAGAAAAATGAAAGGAATAAGTGAAGGAAAAACAGAAAATAGAACAACTATATATAAAGAAAAAACATGTTTCGAAAATATGAAGAGAAAGAAAGACAAAAGAATGCCGTAAATGATAGAATGTAATAAAAAAAATGTCGTATATAAGAAGGAAAGAAGATGATTTTATATAAAGATATATGAATGTAAAAGAAAGAAAAAACAACAACTGTAAAAGAGAGAAAAGTTAAGTAATATGAATAAATGAAAAATAAGATTGTAATTAATATATATATATATATATATATATATATATATATATATATATAAATAAAGAACAAAACAGTAAGATATATAATCATGTGTTCCTATAGATATTTTATTTTTACAAAATAGTGCTCAATGTAAATTTACAGAGCATTAATATTATAAATTGATTTATTTAAAATGTTTTTACGCTACATTTTCTAACCATTTTTGAAACATGGTTAGAACTGTGTAACGAAAAAAAATATTTTAAATGAATCAATTTATAATATATATATATATATATATATATATATATATATATATATATATATATATATATGTAAACGTAAAAGACCGAAGCAGGAATAGAAAAAATATGGATATGGAGAAGATAATGTAATAAGATAGGAAACATGTCAAGGACGAAAAGTAAATATAAAAGACAGAAGAAAAAGAAGGAAGAAAATATAAGTAAATCAAAGAGAGAAAAAAAAAATAATGAAAGTTAATAAATCTCAAAGAAAGAATGCTATATATCGTACCTGTGAACTCTTTACAAACAAAAAAGCGAAGAAAAAACTTCTAAAGGAATGAAGGAAAAAATGATAAAGAACTGTAAATGAAGAAATAGAAACGAAGGAAAGAGAAAAAACGAACGACAGAATAATAGATAAAGGAATATGAAGAAATATAAAACAAATAAATCTGGCTAAAAGATTAAATATAAATTAAGGAGAACTGGAACTGTATTAAACTAAACGACAAAGATAGAAGAAAAGAAAAATATTTGCAGATGAAGGAAGACAAAGAAATAGATATTGACAATTGCGTCTAGCACGAAAAAACCTGTCGCCTCTGAGTGTTGACTTTAAATTTCACTTATATATATGTGGGTGATCCAGGAGAAACATTTAAGTTAAATAGATTAAAGAAAAAACTGGAAGATGACGATGGAAAATTAATATTCAGGAATATATGAGTTGAGTAATGTGGGTAGAAAACAAAACTGCACAATGATAAATAGTGGGATAAATATTATTTTACCTTGGTTACCAACGCATCAAGGGAAATTCAAAACGGGAGGAGGGTCGTGTGGAGACCCTGTAGCATACTATGTGCATCAGCCTTCTGTATCCGATTCTTCCGAAATGTGTGTTTGGCTCTGCATAAGCCTTCACCAAGTTAAGGAAACCTTAAGAATAGATCTGATGGCCTCTAAAACCTCGAAGGGAACTGGAGATGATTATCTATCTATCTATCTATCTATCTATCTATATATATATATATATATATATATATATATATATATATATATATATAGTACAAGATAAAAAATATATATCTATATATTCTCCTTTGCAAATACACCCAAAGATATAGATAAAAGAAACGAATCTCCGAGTAACACAATATGACATAAATCTGATTAAAATTATTTAACTTTATTTTTTACTCATTAATAGGAAATCCTTGAAATGATATCGCATTTCTTAGCTTTTTATTCCTTGATTTTGTTTAAAGTTTCAAGTTACAAATAACATTGACTAAGTTGCCAGGATATTGTTTGCTTGAATATTGTTTTCCTTAATAAAACGCTTTTTTTGGAGAAACTGTATTTTCTTTGATTGGATATACTGCGTATTTTTTTTGGATTAAACCGTATAAAATATATATTTAAAAAACAAACAAAACAAAATATATATATATATATATATATATATATATATATATATATATATATATATATAAGAAAAAAATATACAGAAAAAAAACAAAAAAATATATATTTATATATATATATATAAAATATACGAAAAAAAAAAAACAAAAAACATCAGAAATATATTCATACAATTAGCGCTGTTTATTTGTTAATGACATATCATACGTCAGACATTTAAAACGGAGCGCATCTTATAAAACAATTCATAAATTGGATAACATTGTCAATATTAATCGTCTTTGTCAAGTTGTAATGATAATTTATAATTTATGAATATGTCCTTCAATAAAACTTTAAATTTTGTGTTCTTACACGTTTTATTTTAACATTAAAAAGCATAATTTATGTGATTTTTTTTTGTTTTTCCATATAATTTTTTACTATAAACGGATTTATATCCATATATTTTTATATATATATATATATATATATATATATATATATATATATTGGTATATTACACACACATATGCACATATATAATATATATATATATATATATATTCTATATATGTATTTTTTTAGAATATTGAAGATTATAAGATAACCATATATAATATATTTAATAAATTTTTCGCAATGTTTTTTTTTAATTTCGAGAGTTATTATTTGATTGTTTAATTTTTTTTAACATATTACAGTAGAAATCTGTTGGGCATTTTCTGCGATTAAAAGAGCATATAATATTTATTTATTTATTTAAAAGTTTTTTAGAGCAATATAAACTTGGCATTCGCGCCGTATAAATAAGAACAATTTAATAAAAATTTTTGTCAGTCATAGAACAGTGCAAAATTCGAAAGGAGTTGGATGAGTTAAAAGAATGGTTGATTACAATGCGCGGCAATTCAAAAAATATCAGCCATTTTCGTTCTGATAAAAATATATATATCCCGAATATTTGGTGAATGGCCTTATATTTATGAAAAATAATATTTATATAAATGAATTCAAATATTGATGCTTTGGTCAATTTAAAATTTTTGGAAAACTCCAAATCCGGCTTTTTAAATGATGTTGCGTCATGCCATCAAGAATTTTTAACCCAAAATTGGCTGTCAGACGATTTCTGCGACCACATCAACCCTTACATCTGGCTAGTTAACTTTCAACTTTTAACCCCATGTGATTATTTGCGTATTTCATTTTATCAAGAGATCAACAAAACTTGTAACACCAAAGATTTCAACTAAAAAAAAATGATTATTTTTGTCTTCACCAAACCTAAAATAAGCTTCAAGAGATTCATAAAAAAATGTTTGAACCGTGGTTGAAAAATATCGATTTTAAAAATGAATTCACTTTCAAATTTAAATTCATTCCATGATTTTTTTATACTTTTGATAAATAATCCTTTGTTCAAATGAGATGTTTTGATGTTATTTTCATTTTTGTATAAAAAAAGATGGCAAATTATCCATGGCATCCTGTATTTAATTTTTTTATTTATTTCAAATTTTTAGATAGATAAATATATATATATATATATATATATATATAGTATAAATATATAAATTAAAATTAATTCGGCATTAATGATAAAAATTTTTTTCTTCAGGATGAAAATTATTTCGCTCTCTATGACTGTTCTAGTTCCAATTTTATGTCTAATGGATGTCAGTTAAAATGAAATCTCCAATGATAATTCATAGATCCAGGTATTGAATCAACAGAAGCTTGGGTCCTGTCAAAATGATCTAACCAACGCCTTTATCCACTGTGAATTTGTCCTTATAAAGAAATCTCTATATGAATTTCTGGGACTTAATTTTTTTAATATCTTCTGCAACAATATTTAACAGTGCTCATATTTAGAAATTTTTTGTTATCATGTATATATATATATATTTTAACCAGAAAAAATAAAGTTGTTACATTTATTTTGACCATTTACTGTTGAAGAAAAAATAATATATAAATACAACCCCCCTTGCATTTGAAAATTTTCGTTTGTTTAAATATATACTTCAGCATGTAAATCTTTTTTTTTCCCTGCTTCCATGATAAGATGAAATGAAATTCAAAAAATTAAATATGAATATCATTCGCCAATGTTCATGACTAAGATTTATTGAATCACTTTCATTTTTTTGTTCTTTCCTCAAACTAACCTATTCTCAGGTTTTTTCATATTCAAATACATAGAAAACCCCCTTTTTTTTATATAGCATTCCCGTCTTGAAATGGGGTTATTTGATTTTTTTTAAAAGTATGTATAAACACTTTTAATAATATATGTTGGTAAAATCAAAATATAGCAAAAAGAGAAATTAGGTAATTAAATTTTTTACGAAGTACTAAATAACAGATCTCTTACCAAACATAGGACGGCCTGGCATATTTATACAAGTGTATAGCAGTCAGTAAGGATCGATTTCATTGTTTCATTAATGATCTCTCAGACTATCTTCCTAACATGTATAGAGAAGCAACCAACAAAAACAGACTTAAATAAAAACTACTAATACAAAAAAGCGGGTGGAAATTTTATACAACGTGTTTTTTAAAAAAAAAAATTGAAGATGTATTTTTAAAATACTTACCTTTCAATCCATTCAATTTTAACACGAAATATTTAATATATTGATTTTTTTTTGTAGGCTATTTCCGCCTGTTTATTGCATTAAATAGTCTGTAATTGCTTTTCTAAGAGCCTTGTCTGCTGACGTCATTGTTTCCAGAGATGCATCCTGGGATCGACACATTTGTCAATGACATATATTGTTTTCCTTCTTTACATGTTTTTACAGGTTTGATGCTCCCATATAAATATATACGAATCAATATATATAGTTTGTATAAATAAAACGTTTAACCTAAAGTGAATACATTTAACGAATGACAATGTGTAGTTCCAATATTTATTAACATTATTTTTTCTGCCATATATATATATATATATATATATATATAGAGAGAGAGATTGAGAGAAAGAAAGAGAAAAGAAAATTTTTTTAAAAAATGATTCCATCATTTTTTTTATTGATGTCAAATGAGAAAAAAATTTTTGTAATTGTATATGAAGTTAAAATTAAAAATTATCCATATATTGCTCATAATTATAATTAAAGCAAAGGTGAAATATAGAATATATAATGGGAGTATATTAATGAGACATCTTTCCAATTTAAAAAAATAATAATCTCGCTAATACTAGAATTAATAATATGAAATCGTAAATAATTAAAGTATATTATAAACCTGTCTGAATGAAAATTTGGAACATAAATTTTCAGGATGTTGATGATCAATATTCCCTTTGTAAATTATTTTTTTTTTGTTTTATTTAAATAGATTTTTTGTGACAATTTTTTTTTTTGTGTCTTGTTCTATCATTACATTTGCATTGATAATTTGTGTTTTTGTGAATAGATTTTTCTCTTTCTTCAATTTCATTCATATATATATATATATATATATATATATATATATATATATATATATATATATTGAAAAAGTGATCGAATAGTTAGACGTTCACTTTCTGATAATGAGACCAATGTCGATTTGTCAGGATTTTCTTAATAAAATTTCTCGTTATCGTTAGTTTTTTGTTTTTTTTCGATCGCAGCGTGCAGGCATTTTGAAAATTTAAAAAAAATAAAGGTCGAAAAAAGCCTTGTGACATTTTGCTTTTTTTTTAAAGTGAGTTAATGCATATTTTAAAAATCTTTCATTGAATATGACAGACAAGGAAAATTTAATTAATTTTTTATTTAATTTTTTCATTGTTCTTACAAAGTTCCGTTCCATAACATTTATGAAGTGCAAAAACTGTTCATATTGCCCATTGTCCGAAGCGCTTTAAAATTAAAATGGTTTTTTAAAAGTGTTTTTTTTTTTTTTTTTTTTAAAACGAATATTCGAATTCCATTGGAATTTAAGAAATATCAATAAAGACTCCTACTAGTATTCGAAACAACACAAAAATTACATCATAAACAGCCAAACACGAAAGAATTTAACAAAACCTAAAAAAAAGTATTTGTTCTTCAGGTCGGAACAGTGTATTTCATCAACGGGGAGTCATTTGTGCAGTTAAATATCCAATGATTTATATGAAAAATTTTTTTTAAATAATGTCTTTGTAGATCTATAATGTTTTTTTATATATAATTTATATTTTCATAGATAAAAATATAAATATATATACATAAAATTCATCCATATATTGTCATCCAAAGAAATGTTTAAGAATTCATCAGTGTTTTTCAATGTTTTAGTCCGCAACCTTTAGCTAGAATCGAAAAATTCTGAATTGGCGTCAGTTCGGAGAGTTTACCCCTAATTTTTTTTTGGTATCTTTAAATACAGGGGAGAAGGTGAATTTTAAAATATTTTTATTTTAGATAAACAACAGCGGCCTCAGACAGAATATTAGTTTTGATTGTTCTGTCTGTGTTTATTTATTATTATTATTATTATTATTATTATTATTATTATTATTATTATTTTATTTTCTTTGATTTCTGGCGTTTACACATTTCTTTCCGGGTCCGCCCAGGGACCTAAGGTTAGAAATGGCATCATGACACTTTCCACTGACAAAAAAAAAAAAAAAAAAAATTACATAGATAAAGCCCTTCGTAAAGTGTGGGCTGTACTTGTCAGAACAATTTTTTGTATCTCCTTGAGGCATGAACTTCCAGGAATCCCTTCAATTAGTCTACTGCAATCTGTTCCAACCAGTCCTAGGGCTCCAACTACAACAGGGATTGTTGATGTTCCCATATGCCACATTTTCGAGATTTCTATTTCAATGTCCTTGTACTTTGACAACTTTTTGAATATCTTCAAAGATACATTGCAGTCTGCAGGGACTGCCATATCAATAAGAAGGGACCGTTTTTTGTTTGTGGTCTTTAATAACAATATCTGGCCGGTTGGCTTTGATTGTTCTGTCAGTGTATATTGTGTAGTCCCATAGAATTGTAACAGGTCCTATCTTCGTAACCGGGTCTGGGTGGTGTTCATACCAGTTTCTTTCAGTTTCCTTCCCGTAGAAGTTGCAGATTTTCCAGTGCAGATATTGGCCCACTCTGTCATGTCGGGTTTTATATTCAGTGGGTGCCAACACCGTGCAACCTGATACAAGATGATCAATCGTTTCTGGATATTTATCACAGAATCTGCATTTTGGGCTGACACAATATTTTAGTATATGTGCTTGATAATTCCTAGTTAGCAAGCATTGGTCCTGCGCAGCAAGGATAAAACCTTCAGTTTCCGCTTTCAACCCTGCACTACGTAGCCACTGATGGGTACGGGTTTTGTCTACGTCAGCTTGTTTGGTACGGGCAGAGTATTGGCCATGAAGCGGTTTATCTTGCCATCGCTTCTGTATCTGGTCGGTTGCATTCGTCTTTGCTGTCTTTTTTAGGTATTTTGCAGTTTCAGCCTGTGTATTGTGCTGTAGTTGCATCTCTACGCCCATTTGAAACTCCATTTTGAATTTGTTGGCTTCTTTCACTACGGAGTAAAGACGCTTACTACTTTCATGTTCCTTGACACATACCATCATCCAGTCTTCTGTAGTTTCCAAATATCTTTGGAGGCCAATTATTGTAGTTTTGTAGGACAGTTCTAGTTGAACTAATGCTCTGCCTCCTTCAGATCTGGGCACATACAGACGATCGACATCAGCTTTGGGATGATGCATGCGATAGCAAGTGAGAAGCTTTTATTATTATTATTATTATTATTATTATTATTCTTTGTTTATTACGCATTGCCCCCAAGTCTAAACCAGATACTTTATAGGACGATTTTTTTTTTTACACAAGAAGATGCAGACATATTAAATGATGGTGATCACTTCGTAGAGTGAAATCTACGGAAGATGTGAGAAATACACTAGATTTTGTAATTCTATGCCATGAGATGGAATTGAAATTCTACTGAATTTTATCTCTAGTCCTTGTATTTGTCTAGCTTCTCAAACGTTTTAAAACATTCTTTTTGCCGTTTGGGGATATAACATCAAATGATTCTTTCTTTTTTTTTTTTTAAAATTAACCTTCACAATAATCTCTTCATGTTTTACATGATTTTCTCAACTGTCTGAACACTGAAATTGCAGATATGTACAATTTGTGGTAGCTTATCTTTCGACCAATTTTCTTTGCGAGGAAGGTTGTACGCAAAGCATACTGACCAGTATATGTAACCAGAACGTTGCTATTATTATTATTATTATTTTATTTTGCGTTTGTTTCAGTAGAGGTCCTTACCAGGAATGTAGTGCGCATTGGATGTGCAAAAATACTGATGTCAAGTGATACTTAATATCTTTATATTTTCATTTTGATAATATTGAGTAGATGAGCAATTCCACAGTGCAATATTTACAATCTATTTTTACCAGACCAACAGAGATTTTTCTAATGTCCCTCTCGGTAAATTTTCGATCCTGTCAAGTTTTTCAATTATTATGAATGTAACAGCAGTAAGTTTAATTCGGCATATGTTTTCCTTTTAAATTTTAATATAATTATATTTACTTTGTCACGTTTAAATATATATTTTCATTTGATGGCAAGGCATTAGCAATATGTAAGCCTTTTTGTTTCAGTTATGTGCTATGCGTGATATACGCTTAGGCGATCAATTATCTTTCGATACATGACTGACAAGGCAGATATTTTTCCCGTAGTAGGTTGCCATTTCTTTTCTGTGCAAGATCAGCTGCCATCCAAGGATATAGAACCCGGTGTGCCCTGCTATTTACCCATAGCTGGGGGGAGAAGATGAGGATTCATACCTTTCCCAAGAGTATTAGCACGTAAGTGGATGTAATGGATTCGACTAGAATTCAAATTCGGCTTTCCGATTCCTCAATCCGAACCTCTATGGATTACACCACCGGGCCTCCTTTTTTTGTTTGCGTCATTTAATTTCAATGACCAGTCTAAAAGATTTTGTCAGTGCCTGTTTGTATGAAGAGTAAACTACCAAAGAATGCTGGTTTCATGGATATTTCTTTCTGATTTCCGAGTGGTTTTGTGACCATTTTTCAGCCTGAGTTGCATGGTGGTAGCCAGTGTTTCATCGGACACATCGTAGTACATTAAACAGAATCGTCTCTGCAAGACTGATATTGATGGATTGATTGATCTTTTTATGGATTATCAACGTTTTTGCAAGTTTTTTGGGTTTTTTTTAAACTAGAACATATTTCAGGATTCAACTTCAATCATGCTATAATAACAATGTAATTGCTTCATTTTTGTTTTCTTCCTGAAAGAAAGTATTCAAAAAACACTCATGTGATTGAAAAGAAGTTTAACATTTCAAATGTTAGTAGTCACAAATAATATAAACTTTAGAAGAGTAAGGGTAATCATCGGTGGTACAATTTTCCGTTCTTTCTCTCCGTCTTGACTTGAGAAAGTAGCCTGAGAGGTCATATATTTCCATATGGCGCTGTCGATTGCATCTTTTCCCCTCACTTCATGACGTCTTTTCATATTACTTCTCTGTTAACCAGGGAATAGTTCCCCAGAACTGGACCGTCTCGTAGAATACAGCAGTTATCCATCCTTGCTTTGGGGTCCGACACCTACATTTGCGTACGGCATGTCGAATGGCAGAAGGACAGGGGAACGCAGCGGGTTACATAGCTGACGAATTTGTGTGAGTGGATGACACAATCTGGGGCGGGAGACTTGGCAAAAGAACAAGAGTTGCTACGAGCTACAAGTAATAGGAGCGCCATGCGTGCCCACGTCTCGAAAAGAAACGGCAATTTTAAGAAGTAAATGGCGTTGCAATATCTTGGACTGATTTTGAATGCTAATTAAATTTAAGCGTCTAAAGATTATTTTCTTTTTATTCGATATCATTTTTTACACATAATTGCTATAACTTAAATAACATGATCCAATAGAGAAATAAATAAATTTCCACCAGTAACATTGATTTATTTACTGCTAACTTTGATTCGGCTTAATGAAACACCTTTATATATAATCCGTCTTAATGAAACACACTTTATTAGTAGCGGGAAATCAAATTTTATGTCCTGAACATTGAGGTTCGAATCTCAGTCAAACACTGCAGATTATATAACTAAACATAATCTTTGTTTTCACTACTAGTAGATACACGTCTATATATATTCGTGCCAACGACAAAAGATGTATAAAGGGACGTGGTGCCCAAAGACAGAAGTTTGGCACACAAATACCATGAGAATAGGGGTATATTGATAACGACAACAAGTCGTAGATTCGCTTAGATTGTTCTGTACCCAAAACTTTTTATTCTCGACAGTTTTCTTTATGTGATCTATTCGCCTGGCGGTAAGTGGACACAAGAACAGGATATTGACGTCGTCTTTAGAAAAAAATAGGTAGACAATCCAATTACAAGGAAATAAGACGGTTTGGTCTGAAGAACTGTTCGCGACTCTGCCATTTATTATGCTATGTTGATTACGTTTCTCACTCATAAGAGCGAAGTATTCGCCTGAATGCATCGATGGTTATTTATAACTGTTGACGCGAAGTGAACTAGAGGTCTTTTTTTTATATTGTGTTTTTATTTTATTTTATTTTTATTGGATAATCTATTTTTGTTCCTCGTATATTTCTTGTGTTCAAATGATTGTGCGTCGTGCAAATATGCGGCGTTTTGTCTGTTTTTAGCTTTATGAATACAAATGTCTGTTGAGATGGCAAAAAGTAAATTTTGCTATATCCCTTTGTCTCTCTTGTCAATGTTCTTTTTTACTTACATAAAAGGTTTTAGATATTTCCCTTATTTTGGGAATACCTTCTGACGCCTGTAGATGTGATATGTTTAGTGTGGTTCAGGGCTAAATTTGAGATGAGTTTATACGGCACCAATCTTAAAAAAGAGAATATACTGTCGGCATTAAGAACAGATATAGGAAATACGTAGGAAGAGAAAAATTGCACGTGTTTATACCATTGATTACACAATACCAGAACCAAGAAACTCAAAAGCTAGCGGTTTAATGAATGAGGCTGGTGTAAAAGAAGGAAGAAAATTGGCATATTATGAGTATGTATATATATATATATATATATATATATATATATATGTGTGAATATATATATATATATATTTAAATTATTTTTTTCATTCTTGGAAGTGAGGTCCGATGAGGCTTGGAAAAAAACTCCCTTGGGAAATAAATTATAATAATGAAATCTTAATGTTGTCAGTTTTCTTTTAAATTATATATATATATATATATATATATATATATATATATATATATATATATATATATATATATTCATAATTATTCATACAAAAAACAAATACAAAAGGTTAATGATTTAATTGGCGAGAAATCCATCGTCGCGAACAATTCAAATAATATACAATAACCCCGAACCTGTTTATGAATGAAAAGATCCTTGTTTCTATAAACAATAAGAACTCATGCAACAGGAAAAAATCTTCCTGATTTTCATTTCCCAATATATCTAACATGAGTGCTGAATTATTGAGTAGTGTCTTTGATTTTTACGGTTTATCAAGACTTTGTCGGTTATTTAAGTCCGAAACGTAATTTGTATCGTAAAAACAATTTTTTGCGAGTAAGTTTTGCATTAATTATCGGGCAAAAAGTATATCTTACGTTTTTCTAAAAATACACAGATCTGTGTTATTTTTTAAAAAACATAAGATATACTTTATTAGAATGATGATCTGGAAAAAAAATGCGAAATTAAAGTCGCATATTAAAACGTATATATATATATATATATATATATATATTTTATATATATAATATGTAATATATATAAATATTCGTCTGATTACAGTTTTCTTAATAGTTGCCAACGCATTTGTCTGATTACAGTTTTCCTTTACAGGTTAACTTTATAAATAAATTTTCATATATATATATATATATATATATATATATATATATATATATATATATATATATATATAAATATATACAAGTAGAGTAGATAAGTTGGTCAATAAAACAAAATCAAACGAAAGGGTACCTATGAAATCAGTACGAAAAACATTTTTATTATTAGCTAGGTGACAAAAATGAAACCCAGAGATTGAGGTTGGAAGTTCGGAATTTTATATCACGTGGGCGGAATCCGTTTGTTGGGGGAATTACTAGAAAAAATTCGTATGCTGTTTGATTACTCGCGTGCGAATTTTAATGTGAAAATTACCTCAGATTTAAAAATTTTGATTGGTGGTAGTGGAGTGAGATGTTGAACATAAGGAAAAGAAATTTGTGGTAGGACCATGGGTGGTATTAGAGTTGAAAGATTTTATTTTTTGTGAGTAAGGATTAGTGTGGGAATATCGCTAGATTGCCAATAAAATTAAAATGAAAGAGAAAACGAAAAAAATAAAATAAAAAGAGACAGGAAAGAAATAGCACAAAAAGAAGCAAATAATTCATTTAGGGAAATCATTGGTAGACAATTGGGGTGCGGAAAAATATAATGAAAAAAATAAAAATGATATTATGAAAAGAGGAATCGTAAAAACTCATACAAGGAAATAAAAATAAAAGAGGGAATAAATACTAAAAAAAAATGGGTTAAAGAATCATTTTGAAAAATTATTGTCAGTTAATGAGGGGTTACGGAAAAAATAGACTGGAATAAAAATGTAACAAAACTACTACTACTAATAATAATATAAAAAAGTAGGGAATAAAAAACCTAGCAAAAAGATGTGTTGTGAACAGAAAAAGAATGTCCGATCTTGTATGTGTAAGTTTCTTTGAGTTATATCCATGTCGTACTTCTAGTGTTGTCAAGGTAAGTCAAGTTCCTTTAGGTTATTTTTCTTTTTTTTTTTTTAGCGAGGATTTGAGTGCTGCCAAGGTAATGTCCAAATGCATGATTGGAAAAAAAAGAGTCGATGTGTGCTCCATATAGTTTATAAAGTAGGCTAAATAAGTTGGTCAATAAAAGAAAGTCAAAAGAAAAAGCACCGATGAAAGCAGTACGAAAAATGTGCATTAATATTAACCAAGTGACAAAAATGAAGCACGGAGATTGAGGTTGCAAGTTCGGAATTTTCGAACACACCTGCGTTCTTCATCAGCGAATGCAAGAGATAAACAGAATGACGGTGGAAACTATCCAACATTATTTTTTTTTTATATATATATATATATATATATATATATATATATATATATATATATATATATATATATATATATATATATATATATATATATATATATATATATATAAAAAGTATGTGGTGCAGTTCAATTTACATTACATGAATCATTCATGCAAAAAACAGATATAGAACTTAATGATATAAATGGCGAGAATACATCTTCGCAAACAAATTTAATAAATTACATTAACCTCGAACCTGTAGATGAATGTTTTGATACATGTTTATAAATTACAGTTGCATAAGGTCTTTTTTATTGTTTTACAAGCTTTCATCTGTGCATACAGACATTATCAGGTATGGAAATAGATTTGTTTTTACTTTTTAAACATATATATATATATATATATATATATATATAATGTTTTTCACTTCCATGATTAGGTATGCTGGTCGTGTCAGTACGTAACTGAGCACCTGGCCAGTTCTCTCCACATATCTCGGATGAAGACGGAAAAGATATTCATTCATGTGTAAGCAGGTTTTGAGGAATTAGATCTGGTGTGCCGAAAACATTTCAGGTCAAACTACAGGCAATCTTCTCGAAGTTGAACGCGCAACTTGGTCACCAACACGTGGTCGTTGATTAAATGGTGCGTAGTAGTTACCTTCAGTCAATGAAGCCATCCGCCAAGCGATGCAGTCTCATCAACGTAGTGGTTGCATACATAACTATTGAGGCCATTCTACCCTATTTTACTAGATGGCCGTTATCTCTACGAAAATATAATGCCGCGCATTGGAAATTATTCTATTAATTCCGTGTCTAGTCATCAGAAAAGCTTGGTGAGAGAACTGGTTTAATTGCCGATGACCCGACCATGTGGCAGGTAGGATTCTGTTTCATAGTAACACTAGTAGAGCGATCTGACATTGATCTAGAGAATAGCAATGAAAATTCTCTATCAGCGTAAAAATATTCTGCCTTCAACTGAAGCCAAACCAGGCTGGAAAATATCGTTATTATTTCATATTCCGATCCCTGGAAGGAATTACTGAATACCTTAATGTTCTATTGAATCAACCTTTTGAGAGATGTTAAATCAACAAGTGGTGTATTACGCATTGCTTTAATGATTATACGGTTTAGTCTATGAAAAGCCAATGAAAAATGCTAATGGTCACATTTGAATCTTTAGATGAGGATACAATGTCTGCTAAGAAAATCGAAATTAGATGTTATATTATTTAGTATTTTTCACCCAATACGAGGCACAAAATCCACTCAAGGTAGAGTGGTACAGATTGAGCTTGTTGTAACGGTGTAAAGACAAGAAGAAAGAAAAAGATGAACATTATTGGGGTATGTAGGATAGAT